ATAGTGGCTGCTAAAACATCGATAGCTTCTAAGTGGAAATCAGACAAGGCTCCAACACGTACCAACTGGCTAAACAAAGTTTGGGATCACCTTATCCTAGAAAAAAAATCACTGATCATTTACTTCAATCAGACATCTATCCCAAATCATCCAATTTTACGGAGAAATTGACCCCATTTATGCCATATATCTCAGCTTCGGATTCTCAACCTCAAAATCCTCTATACCTCAAATTACTAGACTACGAAACTCTACCTATTTGACTATACTGCAATGCCTAGTTGTGACATTGTTACGATATAATTATATGGGACACACACTACTACTTCTTTGCATTAATTCATTTTTATATCTTCCCAAACACAAGGGTTATAGTTACTAAACTGCTCTTGTTGACAACATAGTAAAACCACTAGTACTATAGTGCTTTGCGAAATGTTTATGCTGTTTATGCTGTTCTGTAGGTTTAATACTACTATCACTTCTGAGAAAAACTTAATAAAAATAATTTTTAAAAAGATCAGCCATGAATTGCCTTCAACAGTTTCGCTAGTTGAGATTCTGCTAATGCCGGGCTGGAGGAGAAAATGTTCTTTGACACCATCATTCGAAGTGGGTTCTATGATCAGATTCAGAATGAGTTTTCTCTGAAGTGACAGTCATTTCTCCATGCATTTTGTCCCCCACCCCCAACTCACCTGTGCCCTGACCTGGATGCCCCAGGCTAGACCAATTTCCTCAGATCTCGGTAGCTAAGTAGGGTTGGCTCTGGTTAGTATTTGGATGGGAGACCACCAAGGAAGTCCACAATTGTGATGCAGAAGAGGCAGGCAATGGCAAACCGCTTCTGAATGTCTCTTGCCTACCAGCTGTCACCATAAGTGAGCTGCAACTTGATGGCACCTTCCACCACCTTGTGTGTAGTCCATGGAAAAGACAGCTCCTACCCAGAAGACACAGGGGTTGAACTGTTTGGGGTTAGAGTTGAATTTTAACTAGGCTAGGTATTTTCTCCAAGATATAGGGCTGGGTCCACAGTGCAATTCCACTAGCAACGGCCTTTCCGTTCCCACCTCAAGGCATTCTTGGACATAAAAGCAATTTTGCGTTTTAAGGAACCCATACAAGAATGGTTCGACCAGCACAGGGAAAATGAAAACTGTCTATCTATTGCAGTCTCTCTGGGGTTGGATTTTCTTTCTGAATAGTTTCCTTCAATTTATGTGTGGCAGCTACCTGAAGTGATGTGGCACCAGGAAGAAAACGGATTTTCACGCTATTCAGAATAAAGAGAAACAATTAAAGCTGGATCTTTTGAATGAGAATTTAAAGATGAAGATTAAAATACTCCAGCACCAACTTAATTTACTCTTATCAGAAGAAATGGCAAAAAATATTAAATTTGTTAAACAGGATTATTTAGAAAATGCTAATAAACCGGGAAGATGGTTGGTTCATAAGTTAAGAAAAAGAAAGAGAAAAGAATGATTTATTCAATGTATGATAAAGATAGAAAAGAAGAATTTTCTAAGAACGGATTAAAGGAAATAATTCAGGATTTTTACACGCAACTATATAAAAGAGTGGAAATTTCCAAGGAAATCCAGAAACAGTATTTATGTGAACAGGACCAACTCACGCTATCAGAAGAAAACAGAAAAATGTTGGATGATCCCATAGCAATGATGGAAGTTACAGAGGCTATTAAGAAACAAAATATAAACAAAGCACCTGAACTAGATGGACTACCAACTGAATACTACAAAATATTTGAAGATGTTTTATTGCTCCCATATAAAACTGTAATTTCATCTGTAATAGAAGAAACAGAAGTACCGGAATCTTGGACTGAAGCAACTATATCATTGATTCATAAGGAAGAGACAGATCCTAAAGAGATAAAAATCTATAGACCTATTTCTTTGCTGAATTGTGATTACAAAATATTTGCAACTATTTTGGCTGCAAGGTTGAAAAAAATACCAATAGACTTTATACATCAGTACCTAAGAGACAATTAAAGAATAATGTGAGAACAGTTTTAAATATCTTAGAATATTATGAAACTCATCTAGAGAAGCAGATGGCTTTGATATTTTTGGACGCAGAAAAAGTATTTGACAATGTCAGCTGGCAATTTACTATTCAACAGATGAAGATAATGGATTTCAGGACCAATTTTATAAGGGTGAATGAAGCTATATATACAAAGCAGAAAGCGAAAGTATTAGTAAACAATGAACTAACTGATAATATATGGATTGAAAAAGGGATAAGCCAAGGTTGTCCAATATCTCCATTGCTGTTTATACTAAATTTGGAAGTTCTGACAAGAGCTATTAGAAAAGATAGCCTTATTAAAAGGACATCAATAAGAGGAAATAAATATATATTACATGCCTTTGCTGATGTTTTGGTATTTATCGTAGAGGACCCAATGGACTCTATACAACAACTGATGAATCTGATTAATGAATATGGAAAAATAGCGGGAATGAAAATAAACTATCAGAAGACAAAAATGATTATGAAAAATATGACATCGAAACAAAGACCTGAAATAGCAGAGTTGACTGGATTTCAACTGGAGAAGAAAGTCAAATATTTGGGTATTAATATCACAGCGAAATGTAGTTCCCTGATGAAAGATAATTATAACCAGAGGTCATTTCGGGGGGGAACGCGGGGGAATGCAGTTCCCCCGGGTGAGGTGCAGGGGGCGGGGCACATGACGAAGCCCCACCCCCTGCTTCTGGCCGCCCCGCTTCCAGCCCTCATTCAGCCAGGAGGAGGCAGGAGAAGAGGGAGGGTAAGTTGCTTCCTCCCCGCCTCTCCCCACCCCTGCCTGGGGCCAGGGAGGGCCTTGGTGGGGCTTCCTCGCACTCCTGCTGGCCTTGCAGGTCCACCGCCGGGCCCCTGATGTCAGGGGGTGTGGCATATGCTAATGAGTTATGCCAATGAGTTCCCCTAGCTCTTTTTCTACGAAATGACCCCTGATTATCCAGGGCTCTTATACGGCCCACGAGCAACTGATGCAAGGGAGGGAGTGCTGGGGGGGAGTGGGTGGAGCCACTCCGTTGTGGCTTCAGCACGGTAGAACAACCTCGTCTGCAGCAGTCAAGTGGCGTGGGAGTGTTTGCCCAGCATTGCATTCCTTCCTCTCCAGTTCGCCTATGTGGGTTTTCTTCTGCCCCCCCTCCCAGCTCATGGGGCCTTGCAGTGAGGATACAAGAACTTGGAGCTTACCAGCTGCTGTCCTTTATACAGTTTCTATCTCCAGTGCCTGGCATACATTTATGCAGGGCTATTTTTGGGCAGGAACGCACAGGAACGGAGTTCCGGCTGGCTCCCAAGTTGGCCACACCCAGCAGGAACTCATTAGCATAATCGGCCACACCCAACAGCAGGAACTCATTAGAATTGGCTACATTAGGAGTGTGTGGCCTAACATGCAAAGGAGTTCCTACAACAAAAAAAGCCCTGGGTTTTGACAACAAACAAGGTAAACAGAATAAGAAGGGAAAGGTGGGTGTGGCTGGATGACCACACTTCTGGTAACATGGGGGTGTGGCCTAATATGCTAATGAGCAGTGCAGTCAGGGGTATGGCCTAATATGCTAATGAGTTTCTGTTGCTGGGTGTGGCCTATTATGCTAATGAGTTTCTGCTGGACTTTTTCTACAAAAAAAACCCTGCATTTATGCAACACCTGGCCCAGCCCGGCCCGATAAAGTGACATTTATGTCAGCTCCAGCCCTTGTAACAAATGAGTTTGACATCTCTGTTCTAAAGTCTTTGGTGCCATTAAGTCCTTGGAATCTTATGGCTGGATACAAGCCATTGCCTTGTCCTCATGCTTACAACAGCCTTTTAAGGTAGGCAAAAGCGCCATCAAGTTGCAGCAGAGTAACGACGACCCCGTGGGGTTTTCAAGGCAAGAAACGTTCAGGGGTGGTTTGCCATGGCCTCCATGTCGCAACTCTGGACTTCCTTGGTGGTCTCCCATCCAAATACTAACCAGGACCGACCCTGCTTAGCTTCTAAGATCAGGCCAGCCTGGGACCATCCAGGTCAGGTCAGAACAGGACAGTATTACAACCCCTTTGCTTGCCAAGGCTAAGGTTAAACCACTTGCTTCAGGCTGCCTCTTGGGGGGTGTCAAGCTCAGGCCAGTTTACTTTCGATTTCTAGCAGTCCTGGTTCCTATCACTGTACCTTCGTTTGCCATTTCGAATTCCTAGGGGGGAGTGTGTGTTGTTACAGAGTATGGGTGTAGAGGCTTTGTAACCTTCCTGAAGCGTCGCCCCAAGATAGTTCCCATGAGACTGTCCTTGGAGATCTGTATGCCAGGCTAGGTTAGATAGGGGATCATATATCTGTCCATGTTGCCATAGAAACATCAGGGACTAGGTGTGATGTGTTTGTGCATGGAATTTTTGGGTTTTACCTATATCTTGTATTTTCCCGCTTTTTCCTTCAGTCCTAACGAGGCTTTGGAACCCATAGCATCACATCTCTAATAAAGCATTACACTGCCAATCGTGTGTGTGGAGAGTGAATTGTCTGGGGAACCTGACAGGGGGAGAGGTTTGATCCAGGGATCTCCCGAAGCCCAGCTCAACCCTTTAAGCCCACGCCATCACAACTGGTGAGTTAGGAGAGGGGGGATTCGCACTATTTGCTTGGCTGTCTAATTTCCTAAGAAGAAAACTGTCATTTGCTTTTAAGGAAAACAGGATGTTGAGACATTAATTTGTGTAAGTTGGGTTGCTACGCGTTTTGCTAGATGCTTTTAAAGATCCCGTAGCCATCGCTGGCGCACGTGAAAGAAGAATCTCTGCAGCGTAAAAATTTATTAGAAAACAAGTGTCTTTATTAAAAGAGCAACGTGTCCCGTCCCCCCCTTGAGCACTTCAGCTAGCAGCTGAGGAAACGAGGCCGTCCCCTTTCTGGTTCTGGAAGGCAGTGCCGTGATGAGCTTGAGAGAAAGGGGCGGGGGGGAGACAAGCAATGAGCGTCAAAATAAAACGGGAGGGGATTAAAAACCAGGGAATGTTCTCCTGAAGTGCAATTCAGAGCCTGCCCTCCCCCTTAGCCTCGCGAGGGTTCCCCAACATTCAAAGTGCCCGCCTCCCCCTTGCCCAGGGTGGGGGTGGGGAGCTGCCGGGCGCCTCAGACGGCCACCCTCGCTCTCGTTCCAGTGTTTAAAATCCAGGCGACAGAACAAAATAATAATTTAAAACACAATATATTCTTTCTTCCCATCTTCCGGCACACATCTTTAAAAGCAGCTACCGACAGAGAAGGGCGCTCATGAACCAGCGAGGTAAATTCCTGGAGGTAGGGAACAAAAGAGAGAGAAGGAATAATATCAGAGGGCTGATAGAATACTTGCTTTTGTTGCCGTTGATGGGAGGAATGGCAGGAAATAGGTATTTCGATAAATAAAACAGAAATGGGATTTTTGATTGTTTGGGATGGAATCTGAAAATTTGAGGCTTTTTGTTGGGGGGGGGGTTTGATTTTAAAAGCCAAGTTTCTAGTTCTGAGGAAGTCCTCGGAGCATGCAAGCCTTATAAGCTAAATTAAGTCAGACTACTCAGAGGAAGAAGAGGAGAACAAAGAAGAAGAGGAGGAGGAAAAAGAAGAGGAGGAGGAGGAAGAAGAGGAAGAGGAGGGGTGTGGGAGGAGATTAGATTTATACCCTGCTCTTCACTCAGAGCGGCTTGCAAACTCCTTTCCCCACAACAGACACCCTGTGGGATAGGTGGGGCTGAGAGAGCTCTTTCACCGCTCTTGGAACAACTCTGAAAGAACTTGTGACTGACCCAAGGTCACCCAGCAGGCATCATGTGGAGGAGTGAGGTATCAAACCCGATTCTCCAGATTAGAGTCCGCCACTCTTAACCACTACACCAAACTCTATCCAGAGAATCCAGCACAGGGGTCCCCAACGTTCTTCAGCCTGCAGGCACATTTGGAATTCTGACACAGCATGGTGGAGGCAGCGATAAAATGGCTGCTGTGGGAGGCGGAGTCTGCCACAGAATGATCACCACGGCTTAATTTCAGTAACACAATGTAGATCCTTGTGCTGTGGTGGCAGCGGCTGCCAAAGCAACATTTTTTTAAAATCTGCACAGCCGACGGAACCTTCAGTGGCCAATCAGCAGCCTTGGTGGGCAAAAGCCCTACTTGGCCCCACCCACTTCCTAAAAACACTTGGTGGGCACCAGGAAAGGTGTCCGTGGGTGCCACGTTAGGGGCCCCTGCACCAGCAGAAAAAAAGGCCTCTCTCAGTGCCTGCAACCAGAAATCCTTGAGCTTGGGACTTTCTGCAAGCAAAGCAGGCAGACAAATACTAAACCTGGCATGAAAGGTAATTCTTTTTGCATTCCTTTTGTACAGATCTTTCGGCTCCAGTTAGCCAGCCTTAAAAGGTCTCTGATGGATCTTCCTTGGGCCTAATCCAACAATGCAGTCTGAACGCCTGTAAGAGGAGAGCGGCTGTCTTTATTGGGAGAAGGGAGTCGATGGCAAATAAATTACAGGCGTCTCTCCAGTTAAAGGATCTGGCAGAAAGTGATGGGAAAGGCCCCAGCCTGAGACCCTGGAGAGCCCACCGCCACTCTGAGCAGAGAAGACGGACCTTGATGGACGGAGAGCCTGATTCAGTATAAAGCAGCTCTGCTGTGCCGGCCGGGTCTTGGGAGGGGCATGACACAACACGGCCTCGTCTGGTTGGGGAAGTGAGTTCGAATGCCGCGGGGCCGAATCAGGGTTTTCTGAGATTTCTTTTTTTGCCCTTACCTGTGGCAAACCTCTTCTTGACCAGCGACATCCGGTAGCCACTGCCAACCAGCTCCACGTCCGCACCCGAGACCGTGCTGCCCTCGCTGGTAAACTGAGCGGCCACCGGGCTTGGCTTGGAGGGACCGTTCAAGGGCTCCCAGCTGGCCAAAAGGCGGCCGCAACCTGGATGGGGGCATGGCAGCAAAACAGCACTTTGCAAAGCATACAGATCGTTCCCGGGACTCCGGGAGAACCAGCCAGCGGGCACCGGCCTCCCCCCTCCCCAAACACTCGGGAAGGTGAAGACAGAGAATCCAACCACACTGTCCCTCCCCCTGGAAGGGCAGGTAAAAACCTGCACGGTTCAGATCCCCTTCTCACCTCCAAGGCCTTCGGCGCCAGGAACATCCAGCAGCCGCCAAAGCAAGCGTTTCTCTTCCAGGTTCCTGCAGGGGGAGACAAAGTGCAGCTTGACGAACAAAAGCAGAGACCCTCATCCTGCTCCTCGAAGAGGGGGCAGGAGATATAAAAAAATAGTAGGTCCCTTAAAAGCCCATTAGAATTTTTCTGCTGGAGCAGACCAAGGTGAGCCCATCTAGTCCCTGTTGGACACAGTGGATGGCCTACCCTGTAATCTGGTATTCAGAGATAGGTTACTCCTGAACATGGAGGTTCCATTTAGCTATCGTGGCTAATAGTTCTCAACAGACTGGACTACGATTAATTTGTGTAACTCGGCATAAGCAGAACCGTATTGGATCAGACCATCCTCACCCTTGTTTTCCGCAACAGCCACCAAAACGTCCACCCAGGGGAAGAGGCATTCTCTCCTCTTTCCCACCCAGGAGAGAATACCTCTTCCAAGACAGCACGTGTCCAAATACATGCACGCCAACCTCTGTTACATTTTTTATCCCGCCCATCCTCCATGGAACTCAGGGTAGCATACGTTGGTCTCCTCGCCCATTCTGCCCTTGACAACAACACTGCGATGTAGGTTTAGGTGGCGAGAGAATGACTGGCCCGCAGTTCCCCAGCAAGTTTTGAGGGAGGCTGGGGATCTGAATAGGGTCCCCCCAGATTCTAGGCCGGCCGTCTAACCACTTCACGACGTTGGCTCTAAACACAAGCCTTCTTTCTTCTGGACTACCACTTAATTCATGGTTCAAAGTCAAGCAACCAAACAAGACTCATACGATTAGTCACTTCCTGTCCCTGAGCGACAGCCCCTGAATTATGGCAAAGATAACATGGAGGATGGTGAAAGGTAAAGGTAAAGGTTCCCTTGCTCGAAAGCCAGTCGAATGCGACTCTAGGGTTGCGGTGCTCATCTCCGTTTCAAAGCTGAAGAGCCAGCGCTGTCCGAAGATATTCCCGTGGTCATGTGGCCGGCATGACTAAACACCAAGGCGCACAGAACGCTGTTACCTTCCCACTGAAGTGGTACCTATTTATCTACTTGTAATTTCTTGCTTTCGAACTGCTAGGATGGCAGGAGCTGGAACTAGAGACGGGAGCTCACTCCGTCATGCGGCACACTCGGGTCTCGAACTGCTGAACTACCGACCTTCCACAGCCTGCAGGTCAGCGTCTTAACCACTTGAGCCACCGCAGCTTCCGTTAGAAGATGGAGGGAAGAGGAAATCTATACAGAGCAACATAAAGCCGCTTTATCTCACCAACAGGCCGTTGGCTGCAGCCGGACGTTGGCAACTGGCTCTTCAATGGGCAGCAGGACTTGCACATTGGTGAGCGCCACTGCCGAAGCCAGGGCAGACGCGTTGTAGTTGTAATCCACGCACACGCGGGTGGTATCTGAGGCACACTCCCAGTTCACTGTCAGCTGCAGGGGAGCCCAAGCCAGGCCCTGCTTGGAATACTGAAGGGGAAGGGAGAGAACAGAAGGTGTCGTTGCCAACCAGGAAAAGTCATCCATCCACGATCCCACGTTGCTTGTTCCTTGAAGAACCAGTATTCCCCAGGTACACTGCCTCCAAACATGGAGGTTCCATTGGGCTATCAATGCTGACACAGCTCTCCCCTCTACTGGAAGCACAGAGGGTAGAGAAGATAACCCAACCTTCTGGCTAGTGACATGTCTTAGATCAGGGGTGTCAAACATGCAGCCCGTGGGCCGGATCCGGCCCCCGCAGGGCTCTTATCCGGCCCTTGAGCAACTGGCTCTCTCCTGCTTCCTTCTCCAGTTCTGTTACTGCTGCACCACAGCTTTCTTTGCCAGACTCTCTCAATCACACAGGAGAGACAGATAGGATAAGAGAGTACCTTATAAAATTTGTATCTCCGCTACCTGGCATTACATTTTATGACACACATGGCCCAGCCCAAAAAGGTCTCATTTATGTGAGATACGGCCCTCATGACAAATGAGTTCAACACCCCTGCCTTAGATCTTGCGCCCCATCGGCACCTAGCCATCAGTTCCTTTGCCTCTGGCCCCTGAGCAGTGTTCCCTCTAAGCTGAGTTAGTGTGAGCTAGCTCACAGTTTTTTAGCCTCCAGCTCATACATTTTTGTCTTAGCTCAGGAAGGACAGCTCCAGAGCAAACTAATTTATGCAGTAGCCAAATCGCTCGCTCACAACTTTCATGCCAGTAGCTCACATAGTAGAATTTTTGCTCACAAGACTCCACAGCTTAGAGGGAACATTGCCCCTGAGCCTTCACCTTTTCCTTTGTTTTTTGCCTGATTCTCCCCCACCCCCATTAAGTTTCCTACCTGGTATCTGAGTAGGGGCACGTTGAAGTAGGGGGCAGCGGTCACTTGCTCTGCCTGCTTCTGGAGGTGCGCAGTGAGGGCCCCCATGTTGAGCCAGAAGTCCTTGCTGCTGGGGTCACTTTGCGATGGGTCACTTTGGGGTCAAGGGGGGGTCAAAAGAGAGGCGGGAATGAGGTCAGTCAAGTGATGCCCACTGCCTGGGCACCCTTTTGTTGTTTCTAAAAACTCCACCCACTGCCCCTCATCTCCCCAAGGCATGCTGTTTTCTTTTAAAAGATGCAGAACAGAAAATGTATTTTTTAAACACCTCCAGCACGGTATCCACGGATCTTCATTGAAATAGGCTTCCTTCTTCAGTCCTGAGATTCCCAGCAGTTTCAGCAAATAGCCCCTGCTCTAAATACAGGGCTGCATCCTACTGCTCCTTTTAGTGGTGCCACCCGGCCAAGCAAGAGCCAGCCAGAGAGACAAAGCCCGCTATACGCCCATCTCTACCCAAGAGAACTGCATCTTACTGCTCCTTTTGGTGGTGCCACCCGGCCAAGCAAGAGCCAGGCAGAGAGACAAAGCCCGTTATATGCCCATCTCTACCCAAGAGAACGGCGCACATTTTCTGGGCCACATTAAAGTCTGACGGTCGATTAGTAAGTCTGCTTATAAATCTGTCTCTCAGCATTTTCCCTAACAGGCAGCAGAGTCTACCCATGCCTCGGCTTTCTTCTGTTGGCTTCTAAAGATGTTCCTTCCGTGGAGATAGTCCTATATTACTAAATAAAATAAAAGAGCAAAGCTGCAGTTCAAAAATGTAATCTGGAAAAAGATGGACTCAGAGATAGGATGGGGGTGACGGCAAGTATGTGGGCTCTTTCCCCTCAACGGATTTTATTCCTCTCTTGTGCACATCGAACCTCTGGATTCTCCATTACCAGTTTCAGGGGCCAAATATGTTCCCCTTAAAATGCCTGTTTACCATGATGTGTGCATTGTTGTTGTTGTCTTGCCATCAAGTTGCAGCTGCTTTATGGCAACCCCATGGATTTTTCAAGGCAAGAGATGTTCAGAGGTGGTTTGCCACGGCCTGCCCTCCGTGCCACAAGCCTGGTTTTCCTCCATCTCCCATCCGAATGCCAGCCCGGGCCAACCCTGCTTGGCTTCCAAGAGCTGATGAGATCAGGCTAGCCTGGGCTATCCAGGCGACAAGTCCGTGTTAAACATCTGAGGGACAGCATGTGTACAAGCGTGTTATAATACAAACTAATCTACAGAGCCAACAGTGGAAAGCAGAGAACCAAAAACAGCTGACTAGTTTTTGTATTTATTTATTTTTAAAGGAAATGTTTGATTGTCCCAAATCCTAATCTTTGTGAGTCTTTCAAGTTTTCAGCAGAGGGTACCACGCCCTGTTCCTGACAGCTTCGCTTACCGCAAATCAGTAAGATTGGCGACTGCCTGTTTTCGCACATTCTCTGTTGCGGAACGGCCTCCTTGAGGAGGTCAGGAAGCCCACACATACACACTTTTCTATCGATTTGTAGAATGTATAAAAACAGAACTGTTCCAGAGGGCGTTTTTATAAAGGAATTAGAACTGCAGTATAATGGAACAGCCCAGGAGATATAAGGGAACAGAAGTGTAGTCTATGGCATTGTTCGTATCCAGGGCTATTTTTGGGCAGGAACGCACAGGAACGGAGTTCTGGCTGGCTCCCGAGTTGGCCACGCCCAACAGGAACTCATTAGCATAATAGGCCACACCCAATAGCAGATACTCATTAGGATTGGCTACATTAGGGGTGTGTGGCCTAACATGCAAAGGAGTTCCTGCTGGGTTTTGACAACAAACAAGGTAAACAGAATAAGAAGCAAAAGGTGGGTGTGGCTGGATAACCACACTTCTGGTAACATGTGGGTGCGACCTAATGTGCTAATGAGCTGTGCTGTCAGGGGTGTGGCCCAATATGCTAATGAGTTCCTGCTGTTGGGTGTGACCTATTATGCTAATGAGTTCCTGCTGGGCTTTTTCTACAAAAAGAGCCCTGTTCGTATCACCTGGATATTACTGCCATCTGCTACCTTCCTTACCCATTTTCTTCGCCGTGGTATAGTATGCCATGCCTTAGAAAGGTTTTTTCGTTAGTTTCCATTGTTTTCTAACTCTGTAATCCTTGCCCCATTGGGCAATGAAGAAAGCTGACAGAAAGAAAGTCGGTTCCTTTGAAATGTGGTGCTGGAGGCGGGTTTTACGGATACTGTGGACCATCAGAATGACAAATCAGGGGGTTCAGGATGAAATCAAGCCTGAGCGCTCCCTAGAAACTACGATGACTAAACTGAGGCTATTGCACTTTGGTGACATTATGAGAAGACAAGAGTCACTGGAAAAGACAATAATGCAGGGAGAAGTTGGAAGGCAGCAGGAAAAGAGGAAGACGCAGCCATGAGATGGATTGACTCAAGCGAGGAAGCCACAAAGGCCCACACCTTGCAAGACCTGAGCGAGGCTGTTCAGAATAGGACGTTCTGGAGGAGACCGATTCATAGGGTCACCATAACTCAAAAGCAACGTGATGGCACTGAACACACACAGTCCCATCGCACCGTTTAACGGGTGTCTTAAGGCCATCTGATCAAATCGCTTTCTATGTTTCGTAATCCGCCTTAAGTCTCAGCAAGAAAGGCAGTCTATAAATAAAATAAAACCCCAATTCTTTTGGCTGTGAGCCTTACCTAGCAAATCTTTCCCCCCCAAAAAAACAATTTATTAGGATATATTATTAGTTCAAATACACAACATATTTTGTTTGGTATACATCCTCTTCCCCCCAGTCTGCATAGAATCCTTCTGCTTCAAGGTTCTTAAGTTTCCTTGTCATTTTGTCCATTTCAACCATAAATAATAATTTCTTCATCCATTCCCCGATTTCCGGGATTTTGTCTTGTTTCCAACACTGAGCATAAGTCATTCTAGCAGTTGTGATCATATACCACATCAAAGTTCTTTTTTGCACGTTGACTTCTTCCATTTTAAGTCCTAACAGTAATATTTCAGGCTCTTTCTTAAAATTACATTTTACAATCTTTTCCATTTCTTTATGTATCTCAGCCCAATAACTTCTTGCTTTGTCACAGGTCCACCACATATGATAAAAGGAGCCTTCCATTTTTTTACATTTCCAACATTTGTTTGACATATTACTATTTATATTTGCAATCTTTTTTGGTGTCATATACCATCTATACATCACCTTACCTAGCAAATCTAACGGACTCAAGGCAAAGTTACTTGGCAGATGTTGCACAGCTCTCCACGTACCTAAAGAGGAGATCAGCATTGGGCAGGAACTGTTCGATGGGGGCAGTGTGGAGGAGACGGAAACTCAGGACAGGGGGTGCCGAGGAACCGCTGAAGACTCGGACGATCCCCGCCGGGAAGGACATGGTGAGTTCGCCAGTGACTTTGACGAGACAGCTGGGAGGATCACAGAGCAACAGGTTTAGTTAATACGAGATGAGCTCTGCTGGATCAGGCCAAAGGTCCAGCTAATCTAGTGGCCAATGAGATGCCCCAGGAAGCACCCCCAGCAGCCGCATAGAGGTAAACAGACAGTCCCCTCCCATATAACTTGTACACAGCAGGTACACTGCCTCTAAGCATGGAGGCTCCACTGAGCCACCACAGAAATAGCAATGTCTCGGTGAATCTGCCCCAATCCCCGGGTTCTGTCATCGTGTCTCATGGTCCAAATCTCACAAGTGAAATTGTTAAATTAATAGGCAATTCAGCTCAGGAATAAGGTTAACCCTCTTGGAAGCAACTTCCGGCCGGGTCAGTGACACACATTTTCCCCTCAGCCGATTCTGTTCTCTGAGGAAACTCCGTCATTGTGGCCAGCCCTGGCATGAAAACTTCAAAAAAATTTTTTGGTGGGGAGACCTCCTTTGTGCCTTAAAAGCAAAGAATAAAGGCTATCACTCTGCTCACGCATAAGTTACCTGTCCGGGTTTTGACCTTTAAAGTAAGCATGGATATATTCCGTGAAGGCCGTCGCCACAGGCAATGCATCCTGAGAACCCAGGACCACAGGAGAGGGACCACGGGAGATTCCTGCACATTAAAAAAAAAAGTGAGACATTTGAAGGGGGGAAAATAGCAGAAAGTTATGTCTGACATCTTTTAACAAAGGTTGAATAGGATACATAAAAAGCAGCTCAACTTAAAATGTTAAAATAAAATAAGGATCTCGAGACACCTCAAAGACAAGAAAGAAATTATTGTGGCAAAGGAGTTTGTGAGCCAGAGTGCACTGCTCTAGATGGATGAACTACTACACTCAGTTGGCAAACAGATACATACCCAAAGCTACATATTTCAGAAAGGGAGCGGTATTGCCACGAGGGGCCAGCAGCCCCAGTTTCCCAAACCACAGGTGTGTTATGTTACTTTGCAGAGCACAGCCGCAAACAGGGGCTTGGAACGGTGACCTCATTGCAAGAAGGTATCATTCCTCCTTACATGAATATGTACCCTATTCAGATCCACCCTGCTTGGGTGACTCATCCAACACAGGGGAGTGATCCACACCCATTTCGAAACAGACCTCTACTACTATAACTAGATCTTGTTTTCATCTGTGTCCTGCAGTGCACCGTCACGCTCCACGCCTACCTCATAGGGTTGCTGAGAGGGTGAAAGGGGGGGAAAAGGGAGAGCCACCTCTGCTGCCCTGAATTCCTTAAAGGGAGGGCAGGATGGAAATTTATGATTGTCAGAATAGGCTTCAATTTAACAATAGAGCCCTGACCTGGATAGTCCAGGCAAGCCCGATCTCGTCAGATCTCGGAAGCTGAGCAGGGTCGACTGTGGCAAGTACTAGGACGGGAGACCTCCTTGGAATACTAGCAGTCGGGAGGACAGGGGCAGGCTTTATTCAGCCACCTCTCTGGATATGCTCCAGGCCCCCTAAAGGGGTCAGTCACCAGAGGTCACCATGACTTCCAGGTACACACATACTCACATGCACACACATACACACGCACATATGAAAGATACAAAGCACAAACACACAAGCAATAGAGGACCACAGAGGACATTTATAGTCATTTATCTACAACTTTTGTGACGTTTGATATTACATTTTAAAAAAATGGAGCTGCACAGAGATATTTACAATGTTTATTTGCTGCCTTTTAATGATAGTTTTGCAATATTTCCAAGAGACTGGCTCCACCCCATGCGGCCAATGAGATGCCCTGAGAAGCCTAGAAACATGGCACACACGTGTGCCCACCAATGCTCCCTCTAAGCTGTGGAGTCTTGTGAGCAAAAATTCTACTTTGTGAGCTGCTGGCATTAAAGTTGTGAGCGAGCGATTTGGCTGTGGCTTAAATTAGTTGGCTCTGGAGCCCCTCCTTCCTGAGCGGAGACAAAAACCTGT